TAGAGCACCTTTATGGGGCAATCTGGAGTTGAACCTACTAAGTTTAAAGCAACTATTGGACTTCCACAGGGAAAATGAAGTAAGTTAGATGTAGGAATCTAGAGTTCCAGAGAATGATCAGGTTGTAGTTGTCAAGATAGTTGAGATGCAAACGGTAAACAGAGGATGTCAGAAGACTAAGGACTGGGACATTCTAACACATAAAGGTAGAGAAAAGAAGTTTGGTAAATGATTGTCAAATGAATTCATAAATAAATGTGATTAATATAAATACGGAGTAATGAACTCCAAATATTCTCCACTTAACTTCAACCAGTAAAGTAATTTTGGCTTTGTAGCAATTTCTTATCTTACCACCTCATCTGAAAAATATGACAGTCCTCTTCTTACCTTCTGATGGTGTTTTCACTGTAGCCCTTGCTTCTTGATTCTCTCAGTAACTAAGTCTATGTGTCACACATGCCACCATTTGCCACCTTTCCCCTCAAGGTTGACTTGACTATGGATCTTAACACACTTTCCTAAGAAGTCTGAACTGTTCAGAATTATTTTATTTTCTGGACTGAGAATCCTTTACATAAAGGTACTATAGTGGAGTTAACATTTAAAGCACAATAATTTTCCATCCTGGCATAGTACTTAAGTTCATACATTTGAATTCATAAAGGCACGGTGGCAGATTCTGGCTCTGCCATTTACTACTTTTATTGTCTGGCCTTTTTCAGATTCAGTTGCCTTACTGTAAAACTGTAATTATAATGTCTGTCACAGAGGGTTGAGGTGAGGAGTCAATGAGATAAGACATGCAGAACTCTTAGGGTACAACCTGGTGCTTAAGTGTTCAATAAATAGTGGTTATCACCCAAATGGACTCTTTCATTTTCCATGCTTTGCCCCAATCTCCTGAATGGCAGTATTGTTTCATTCACACTGCTGTATTCCTTTAACTTACTTGGAGAGGGGGAGTGAGGAAAAAAGAAAGAATGGTCTCTTTGGAGAAAGGGAAAAGCTAATCAGATTCTAAACCAGCAGAACATAATGATTCTTCATATATTTGCAAAGCTGTGTTAAGCAATAAATACTCAACAAAATCCTGATATTTTTGTGCTTTTCAAATAAAATTTTAAATATAAGTTTAACAATACTAAGTACGTATAAGATTGAATCATGTAATAAGAATCACTTCAATTTTTGACAAGCTTCTTAGTTCTGAGTCCTAAGATACTTCCTGCAATCAAAACCCATTTTCAAATTCACAGGGAGATATTATCTAATGCTTCACTCAGCCTTTTCATGTTCTTAATTTGGGGTCAGTTTCAATGGCCTGTCTCATATCAGCTGTCATTCTTGTGATCAAAATGTCACTTCACATTACAATTTTCATTGGGACAGTTCTCATCTTTGGTTTCAATTCAATTTAATTCAAATCAGATCCCTATGTCTCAGGACAATTGAATTCACTTAAAATCCTCTTTGTTCAGATGGGTTGTAACCACTATTTCCTATTGATACTGCTGAAGTTCCTGGTACCTTCTAAACCCCTAGTACTGCCTGGGAGGCCACTGGGTCTTATAACAAGGACAAATCTGTTTCCACCACTGAAATGGGCCTGGCATCAGCCTTGGCACTAGCCAGGCCAGCATTATGCCACTAGACCCTAAGCCACTATTGCTGTCTCTGATGTTGCCTCAGTATCCACCACCGTTCCCCCACCAAAGTCCCAATGGGTCAACACATTTCTGAACCATAGAAAATCCTTTCATCACACGCTTTACAAAATCTTGGCTGAAAAACAGCTCATTAGGTTATAGGAATTTGGAAAGGTGTAATTTGTTTATTCTGTTTAGTTGAGTTTCTGGTCTTTCCTTCCCTCCCCCCCAACAAAAGCCATATGAAAGGGGTTGACCAACAGCACAATTCACCCATGCCCTTCTTCTGAAACAACTTTTTCAGACTGAGATGTATGCCTGACTTTCCCTAGAATACATTTGTTTCCAAGAAGCTTCTCTTGCAAGGCCGCTGGTAGAATTACCCACCACACCACCAGATATATTGAGACTCCTTTACCTTTTCATTCTGTGGGCTTGGTTCCTACCCACAAGCAGCCTGGGACCTTAGTGGCACTGTCCAGAGAAGGGAAATAAAAGACACTGGGCCCAGACAGGATGAGAGCCCAGAAAACTCACCTAGCTAAAGGGCTTCACCTGAAGAAGGGGGAGACCAGTAGGCCACACCATCGAATTACCAGAAGTTGAGCCTGATTCTGGCTAATTGCACACTAAAGGAAATTTACAAATGAGCAGAACCCAGCTATGCAGGGAGCTGTCCTATGACTTGGCCACTGGCATAGTGGCTTCTGCTAGTGGTATTTCTTGGTATGGGGACTAATAAAATAAATTGACTGAGTTCATAACCCAGCTTTCTATGCAGGCTTCAGACTAGACATGACAAACCATGTACAAAGGTCATCCCTAAGGCTAGGCACTTTGGGAGAGCTATGCCCAAAGCATCCTGAAGGAACTACTCAAAAGAAGAGGTAAAACTAAAGTCATAACTGGGAATAATGAGGTTGTGCATAGAGCTGAGGGGACGAACAAGATACACGTGCAGCTCACTAACTGGGGGTATCCAGAGAAATGGGATAAGAGGCTAGGAAATTATAAGTGGGATATGGCACCTGCTGCATGCTACTAGCTTAGACTGGGTTCTTAAGGACAGTTGATCTGGCTATATTTAGACGCATATAAAGCACTTTTTTGTTCTGTTAGAGTTTTATTTATTTATTTATTTTTATGTTGCCAGTCTCTCCTTTCACTTCCTGAATTGTCTTGCTAATTTCTCTGTATTGGCTATCAGCTTTATCTTGCATCTCATTGAGCTTCTTTATAATCAGTATCCTGAATTTGTTATCTGACATTTCAGGGATTTCATCGTGGCTAGGTTCTGTTGTTGAGAATTGGTCAACCCCTTTGAGGAGTAAAACTGTTTTTTCATACTTTTGGGGTTGTTTTTCTAGTTCTTTCTCATCTGAATGAACTATGGCAGCTAATCTGTATGGGTTCCTTGGATATAGGTAGCCTGTGTGTGTAGGCTTTCCCAGGTGTTAGTTGTAATAGTGGCGTGGCAGGGATGTGGGCGACACCACTGCTTCCGGAGAGGCTAGAGTGGCAAGGGTCTCAGAAGGATTAACTGTCAGCAAATTACCTGTTGTGATGCGTCATTCAACCTCCAGACCAGCAGGTGGCGCACTCATAGGTAAGAGCTGCCTACTGTCGATGTGAATCGGCATTTACTTGATCCTTATTTACTGTAAGAAGCGTTCTGTGGTTTCGACAGTGAGCTCATCTTATGAGTGTGCAGCGGGCGGGCTGTGCTCCTGGTTCAGCCCTGGGGAGGGGAGAACCAAGATGGGTGGGGCCAAACTGGGCAGGCCCACCTGTGGTCCTACGAAGTCAGGCACAGGCACCTGCTCCATCTGGTACAGGGCTTCGAGTGCCCAGAGGTGTGCCTTGGTGAGATGTTAGATGACCTCGGCTGTAGAGGCATATAAAGCACTTTTGATACATCCGATGTGTAGACTGGGCCTAGAGAGGGCATTCAAGAATGATATAGTTGCCAAAGTTGGACTTTGAAATTCAAAGTTCTGTATTTACATCCCAGCCCTTACAGTCACAGTGTGGCTTTACATAAATTAATCTCTCTACAGTTCTGTATCCTCCAGTAAAGAACCTCATAGGGTTATTTTTAAGGATTTGTAAAGTTCGTATCCTAGTGGCACACAATAGATACTAAAAATTGAAGGAATGTGTCAAATGACTTAGCTAATATCAACACAACTCATTCCAGACCAGATTCATTGGTGGCACTGAACCTGTTGACAATTTGTCTTCTCTGATGAGGGAGAACTCAGGGGTTGGCAAACTGGGCTTTTGGGTATGGGTCTCATAGCTGAGAGAGGGACTATGGGACCCAGGGCTTGATGTGCATGGTGGGTTAGAAAGTACAGCTATTCTGAGGGTTCTCCAGAGTAGCAGCTGGTCTGGCAAACTTGTATTTCAATCACGATGTTAAGACAAATATCCATTCATGATTTTCTCCTAAACTCAGAAACAAATGGCCCTCTTCTCAGGAATGTATGTGTATTTGCCCATACACATGTATACATTGCAAAGCTGAAGGTCACAGTCAGGCACAGCTTTCCTTCTGCAGCGCACACACTGGCTTTTATTACTCTCCTTACATGGTAGCCTCACGTGTGAACATTTGATCTTTGAAATGCACTGCATAAATTCCAGTGGGAGAATGTTTGCTGCTGTCTCATGGTTTACATGTAAGTTTTGTTATTACTATATCTATAAAAGTGACTTTGGTTTTCTTTCTCTCTATGGCTGCAGTATTAATTACCTTTCATCTGTGCTGGAAAGTGTCCTGAGTTTAAATTAAGTTGAATGCCAGACCAAGTGTGGAACACAAGAGATCCTGCTAGTTTAAGTCCAGGATCCATTAAGAGAGTCCTTCTTCATGGCTTGGAAACAAAGAATGGTGTCCCTACTCAGACCTCCTCTTTCTACTCCAGTCTCACTCCCTACCGCTCCACTTCTCGCACTACAGTCCGGTTACACCAAAACTTGACAATTCTTCCATGCACCATGCCCTTTCCTGCCTTTGTGCCTTTGCACAGGCTGTATCTTTTGCCCCCATGGCCTTTCTTCCTTCTTTCCAGAGAGCTTCTCTTCCATCCACGTGGCCCTGCTCCAGACTCATCCTTCAGAATCCTCTCTGTAGACCTGCTCCTTCCCCCGAAGTTGGTCTCTTCTTCTTTGCTCTTACAGCATTTTATGCATACCTCTAGTATTCAGCTTCTCACATTGGACTGTCTCCCTTTGTGAGTCTTTTGAAAGCCAAGTGAGCATCTATCACAGTGTCTGGCAGTTGTTTGGTGCACATTTAAAATGTATGAATGAAAACCAAATCATTCTTTTTGTTTCTTCTTCCTGCAGAAACGATGACCCTGGACAAGAGGGCTGCTTGTGTCAAGGACACAGTAGGACAACCATCTCACAAAGATCTTAAGTAACTTTTCCCATCCAGCAACACCCAGACGACTCGTGACCAAAAGCTCGGCTGTAACCACAGCAATAACTGGCTCTCTTTCCAGACGGGGTTTGGTGAACCTGAATGGTCCAGCCATCTTCTTCAGGTGGCCCAAGGTGATGTGCTGCAGGGAAGCACATCTCTCATGACCAACAGCCAAGCTTGGACTATGAAAGAAACCAAGGGATAAATAGAGTGAGAGTACCAAGAGTACCAGGACTCTTCATGATTAATATAAGACCCTTGGTGATGGGAACATGGCACTTGCCCTGGCAGTAGTCACTCTGACATGGTGTTATTTGCTAGAATGCCCTGGAAGGACAGAATAGTTAAAAAAAAATACATCCAGGTGCTAAACAGGCAGCAGATCTCAATTCACACTCGACTACCTTCGAACTAACGACTGTCTTCAGAAAATAATTTTACCCCAAGAAGTGCTCCAGATTTGCAAGAAATAGCTCCAGGAGAATAATAGGATAAGCAGGCTGTTCCCCTGGAAAAAAATATATTGTGAGGGGTAGCTCACAGCAAATTCACTGCCCCCTCCCATGAGAGTACCAATTGATCATGGCCCTCCTTTCTGCTAAAACCATATTTTGAGGAGTCAGAAACCCCAACACTATTTTCTAGGTAGCCAGCAGCCACATCCTTTTAACTGGTGGTATTATTAGACTGAAAAGTAATTGTTACTCCTGTTAGGGAGGCATACATCTTAGTGGCATGAGCACTCTATAATATACTTTCCCAGGCGCATTTGTCCACTGAGAAAACAACCTCAAAAACAGGTGATATTATGAGATCATGGAGCGAGAACATAGCCATTCCCTAGAGGAAGGCATGGCTTTGGGGCCTTCTAGGCCTGAGTGCCTTCCAGGGTTTTCCATATGCAATAGCCCAGGGTCATAGCTCTGGGCAGCCACAGACAAAGGTTTTCTTCTTGCTTCAGACACATATAACACTTTCACAGCACTTGGGGATGGAAATGCCTATAAGAATGAAGGTCAAGGGCTTTCCCCAGGAATCTCACTCATTACTCAGTTTCCTTCCTGACTACATCTGCCAACCCACTGCCAGCTTTGTACATCATTCTCATTGCTTTTGTCACCACATAAATGAAACCAAAGCTTCATATATCCTGAAGGGGCTGTTACCTAATGGTCCTCTCTCTCCCACTATAGGTTCAAGGCATCCCATTCATACATTTGTACCACCACTTTAAGATAACATTTCCCTTTTCATGCCATCTCTTTGCAGCAGATTCCAGAGTTGGGTTGTAGTTTACCTTCCTAGAAAGCTCATTGTCTTTATTTAAATTAACATTTCAATTAGTAACTATGGGATGGAAGCAGGATCATTGCATGTCTTCAGAATGTTCTTGTTATCACAGCTGCCTAGAACCATACAAGAAGCTCTACCCTGATGTCAGGTCTAAGAATGGTGGAAGTTTTTGGTTGAGTGAGGCAATGTTATTACACTCAAGCTTCACTTATCTGATGACTTTCAACTACTGGGATTGAAAGGGAATCCAAGGTTCTGCCAATGTCTAATGACATGAGAAAATTCACTTCCTTTGCTTAAGCTTCCCCTCTGCTCATACCTCCCCATTTAGACATCCCCCACCATACCAATGTTCGGAACCAAAGCATGAAGGGCTAGTGCCAGCAAGATAGGTAGCAGAAATACTGTCTCTAGAGTCCGGCAGATGAGCCCAGAGGAATGATCCCAGAGAAATCAGACTAGCTCCAGTAGATATCAAGCAGTCATCCCAGTAAAAATTGACATGTCCTTGGCAATGGGATCCTGGGTTGAAGGTCCTGAGGCAGCTGTGCCTATTGTTCCCCACCTCTGGATCTTCCTGCCCAGAGAACTAGCAGTCTCGGGGTACTAATGAGTATGCTACTGCCTTTTTGGTACAAAACAGAAGGTGGCTTTGTAGGGGCAAGCAGGCAAAGAGCACTGTCCACATGGCAGGCAGATGGCTTTGTGTCTAGAAAGCTTTGCCTAGCCAGTACAGCTGTGGCCAGAGGCCAGCTATAAATTCGAACTCCTTCAGCCCATTTGCAACTCTGCCTCTGTTCTCTTGCATTCTGTTCAGTTTCCCTTTAGTTTCCTAGTAAATGTTCCTTTTCAAAGATTCCAACTTTGTCTCATTTAACTTGGGGGAAGGGGATTCGCCAATGTCTCTTTTCAGGATAAAGAAGGAAATTAAAGTATCTTGAAAACCATGTAAATGGCAGTGGAAATAAGAAACACCCTCATCAGATCTTAGGAACTGACTTTGGGAAAAGCTGGTGCCAAGAAAGGGAGACCAGGTGTCCCCCCACCCACATGGCACTGATTCTCAGCTCCTTCCTTGTACTGCCATTGACTTCAACGAGATATGCCCTGGGTGTTTGCTGCTACTGAAATACCTTCCCGTCTAGTGAACTGGGCACACTCAGCAGGCAGTGTGATGTCCAGGAAGGACACTGATGCTTGACGGGATGAGAAGTCAGGGATGAGAGGAAAGAGGAATGGTTTCTATAATACACATGTTTTCAAAATTCTCCAACAATCATGACTCCAAATGGTATGATTTAATCCACAAAGTCATTAATAGAACTACATTTCGCATGATAAGAAGGGTCATTTTCTCACGCTGATGCCAGAGAGATTGACAAAGGGTAGATATGGAAAATGGCTGGCTATTGCCACAGCCATCTTGTCCTGCAATGGTAGGCATTCCAGTGATCTGTTGCTGCATAATAAAACATAGTGGCTTAAATAGGAATTTATTCTCTCTCATGATTGTGTAGGTTGACTAGGCTTAGGTGATGCTGTCTCCTGGAGTCTCATAGTTGCTGTCAGATGGCAGCTGAGACTGGCATCATCTGAATGCCTGACTGGGCTGGATGTTCATGGTGGCTTCTTCACACACATCTGACATCTCAACTGGAACGACTGGAATGACTGGAGAATTATTGAGCATCTCTCTCCACATAGTCTCTCCATGTGGATAGTTTGGGCTTCCTCAAAACATAGATTTCTTATAAGCACCGGCTTGCCCCAGAGCTAGCACTGCAAGAGGTCCAGGAAGATGCTACAAGTTTCTTTTAAATAACTTCTGAAGTAACCCAGGGTCTTCTGTCACATCCTGGACCAAGAGCAAGTCATAGTCTTGAATCAATGCAGATTCAAGGGAAGGGATTACACAAGAATAGAATACCGAAAGGTGTAGCTCATCAGGGCCATCTCTGGAGATGGTAGGGTTGGGAATGGGAATGGGGAGATTACCGAATTAAAGGGCTGCCTAATAGTTGCCACTTCAGAAGCACATGCAGGCCACTTGGCTCCTTTAGCTATGCCTGACATGTTTTCTTAGCTTTGGTCCCCTCCCCTGCTTGGGGAGGTGAATCTTCTTTCTCTCTCTCTCTAATTCATTTACTTTCTAAATAAACTATATTTTCTAATAAAAAAAAAGAAGTGCATGCAAGCTTAAATGCATGGAGAATGGAAGCAGTAATAAGGGGTAGAGGAGAGGGAAAGGGCTACCCATGAACAGTTAGACAGAGAATAGCTAAAGCAAAGCAACTAATTATAACTGACACAGTGTTTATAACTTTCAACACAAGTTTATACATAAAGTGATTCAGTGAACTGAGAAAGGGACACAAATATGAGTGTGAATATAACCAAAAACAATATATTAAGACTGTACATGGATCCTGAGAATTCTGCAGGCCATTTAGCTGCCCCTGGCCACCCACTTCACTGATGGCAACCTGAGACTTTTGAAGATGTTTGGCCTGGGAGTGCCCAACCTCTGCTATTTCCACCCAAACTCAAGCCAGAGAAGATGGCCCCTTTTGCTTACTGTCCCCTTCCACATCTCTATGAAGAGTATATCTCTCAAACAAGATTCCTGAGCTGATTGTTAGCACAGAGCACGACCAGGTGCTGAGTGCCCAGTAAGGCTCTTCTGAGACTCAGGTTTTCCTTATCCTGAGAACTGACCCTTCCCCCTCCAGTCCTTTCTCAGTACCAAAGAGGAATGATACCCAAAATAGCTAGCCTTTGACAAATACTTTCCTAGCCATAGACCCAGTGACACCTGCCACAGAGGTGATGCTTTGGAATCTTCTAAGCCAGAGACAAGCCACTGACCATGTTCAGGGAATTCTGGTGTGTCTCTGAGATGCCTTTTCCAGAGAAGAGGCAAGTATGAATGGAGCCTTTCTAGGATAACATACAATATTCTACTTTCTATCCAACTACATTCCAAATTAGGCTGATCTTCTTGAAAGAAATGAAATAGAAAGCTAAGGAAAAGAAAATAATCAGAAACATTGTTCCACCAGTTGAGTAAGTATTCCTGGGAAGACCTACAGGACAACTCTAAGGCTAAAGGAAACAGAGATGACTGACAATCTAGGAGCTGCTGAAGGTGAGCCCTGGTCCTCATCTCCAAACCCAGGATGGACATGAGGCAAAAAGAAGCTCTGAGCAGTGCCATGGACCTGCCATAGTTGTCCCTGGTGTCAGACATAAAGCTCCCTTTGCTCAGTCTCCCAAAAGAACAGATCAAACTTCTCTCAAAAACTATACCAGGAAGCCACTTTCTTCTTCCACTCAAAAGCTCTAATTGTCGGCCGGTTGTGGTGGATCATGACTGTAATCCCAGCACTTTGGGAGGCAGCGGCAAGAGGATTATCTGAGTCCAGAAGTTAAAGACCAGCCTGGACAACTTGGCAAGACCTCGTCTCTACAATAAATCAAAAAATTAGCCAGGCATGCATCTGTGGTTCCAGCTATTTGGAAGGCTGAAGTAGGAGGTTCACATGAGCCCAGCGGGTCAAAGCTGCAGTGGCCGTGAGCATGCCACTGCACTTCAGCCTGGGCCACAGAGTGAGACTCCTACTCAAAAAAAACAAAACAAAAACGATCTAATTTTCACTTACTGTTTAGGTTCCCTGGGCACATGGGCTACAAAATCCAACTAGCTGTATGATCACCACTGCCACCTCCCTCCCTGGTGTTTTCCCACTCGTGTCCAGGAGCTCTGAGCCTGGGAAGATTAAAGATGACCCACAAGGCCAGAAATTGTGGCTAAGTCTTATGTCCTTAGGGTCCCCCAGCTCATTCACAGGCTATTGCCAAACTTTCAAAGCAGTTGATGATTCTTATGACACCACCTCTTGGTAGGAAAGGGAAAAACAGGTGAAAGGGACCTGAGCCACAGATAACTGTCCTCCTAAGTCACTGACACTCTCTCTAAACTGTATTTTAAGACAGATTACTCAGCTGGGCTTTGTGGCGCACACCTGCAACCCCAAAATTTTGGGAGGCTGAGGCAGGAGGATTGCTTGATCCCAGGAGTTCAAGACCAGCCTGGACAACATAGAGCAGCTTCATCTCTTAAAAAAAAATTAAATTATTAGCCAAGCATGGTGGCACATGCCTATAGTTCCAACTATTTGGGAGGCTGAAGAGGGGGGATTTCTTGAGCCCAGGAGCATGAGCGTGCGGTGAGCTGTGATCATGCCACTGCACTCCAACCTGGGCAACAGAGTGAGACCCTGACTCAAAGGAAAAAAAAAAGATAGGTTTCTCTGTGAAAGCTGGATGGGCATTGTCAGACAATTTAAAAAGTACACTTATCAATATGAAATGTAATGATTATAACCAACATTGCATCTTCTAGTATGTAATAAATGGTATTACTTTTATCCATTTTCTTTATTTTTTGAAAATTCAACTTGTGATTTTAAATGGTAAAGGTAGTGGAAAAAGTTTATTTTTAGCTTAATGCTAAATTGTAGTTATTATTCCTATAATTATTCATTGCATTAAAGTTATATCAAAACCAGCATTTGATAGAGGATATTGATGGTTTTTCCCAGTGAGTGAACATCATCTCCAAGGCATTGACTTTCTCACAATTTAGGTAAAATTATTTTTTCAATTTAACTAGATTCAGAGACTTGCTTTTGGATTTATCCAAATTTGAATTAATCAAAGAAATGCAATGTCTCCAATTTGCCAAATTCAAAGTGTTCAAAGACTAATAAAATCCTTTCCTCACATACCTGAAGACACTTGTATTTGAGGTTTCAGAGATGAGCTTACAAACTCTATAAACTGATAAATAAACTTTCCAGAACAAATTTTATCTTCATTTAAAAAAAGATCTAATGATTTTGAAAGTACACATTTTCCTCTTGAAGAATTTTAGAATGATATTTAAATATATATGTCTAAAACAAAGCTTTCAAACAATCCTTATCTTAAAAGCACACTAGAAAATACAAGCAGTATAAGAGCACAATAAAGAAAAGCATTGCCATAAATCATATATTTTGAAAAGAGAAACAAATGCACCATCCCTGTCTGCATGTCCACAACTCAGATTGGAACTCTGCTGAGCCTCCTCGGACCTGCCAGCTCCAGCAAGTTATGCTAGAAAATATGTGTGTCTTTTTTTTTTTTTTTTTTTTTGAGTTGGAGTCTCACTGTCACCCAGGTTGGAGTGCAGTGGCACACTCATGGCCACTGCAACCTCGATCTGCTGGGCTTAGGCAATCCTTCTGCCTTACCCTTCCAAGTAACTGGACCCACAGGCACAAGCTGACATGCCCAGCTAATTTTTTGATTTATTGTAGAGATGAGGTCTTGCCTTGTTGCCCAGGCTGATCTCGAATCCAGGGACTCAGGCAATCCTATCACCTCCACCTACCAAAATGCTGGGATTACAGGTATGAGCCACCACGTCCAGCTCATAAGTATGCCTTCTCAGCCAAGCAGTGAATCTGCATTATGACCCAAAATCATGGTCAGTGTTTTCTAATTTTGTTTTTTGAATTTAAAAATGTTTTATTGATAATAAAACACAGACAGCCCTGTGCAAAGACCAACACATCCACCTTCCAGGGGGAAAGAAGATGTTTTAACCACAGTGTAAAAACAGGAAAATAACAGCAATGTGCTATTTTCCTCATTAGAACTCCCGAAGTTAAAAGTATTTCAACCAAAGTAGATATTTCTTCTAAAATATGAGTTGGTTTTACCTTGTTTCTGCAAAGTTAGGTGTCATACTATCCTAAACAGTACTTCTGGTTTTGAAAGAACTGTATTTGCTTGCATGAAGTTAACAGTGTTTTC